TAGATAGACAATGACAGAAAGAGGAGTGATAGTGTAACCGTTTCCAGCAGAACGGTTTGTCGAACGGTCTCTTTGACGAGTTGGTATCTTGGTTCGGAGAATGGCAAAACTCACTGATGATGCAGACTACGATGCCGGGAAACGTCTGAGAATGTATCAAGTCCACTGTCAGATGCTAGGAGCCATGACAACTAATATGGCAGACGACTTCGGACTCGGTGCGTTCTACATAGTCTCCGTGACCACAAGACCAAGTTGCGACAACGAGGTCAACTCACTTTTATAAATACGAAGAGAAACTGGGTTTCATTATCTCAATCATAATTGCTCACGGACTTTCTTTGAGGTCATTAGGCGTTGATGATCAGAGCGCAACTTTAACCTTTTGATAACTCTGATTTAGGACCGGTATTGCGTATAGACACTAACACACACACACGCATACACTCGAGCAAAAGTAGCAGGACAAGCATGAAAGATAATTAGCTAAACAACTCTATATCAATCTAAGTTTTTTATTTTTTAATTTCTTTTGGCTTAACTTAGTCTATAGAAAAGGTAAGAAAAAGCCGGATAGTCTTCTTGGCCTAGAGTTAACATTTGACTTTTACAAGAATGACACCCAGCTCTGATGATGTCCATCATTTCACCCAAAACGAGGGAGGAAGTTGCAGTACAACGATTCTCATCCGTCCTCATCTGGTGAGATCGAACAACGAATCTCTTCTTCATGCACTTTCATACGAAATGAACGTTCCTCTAACAATCACTTCTATAAGTCGAAAGGAGACTGCGACCATACCCGAGGCCACAACATCTTGGTCTTTACATCTTCAATGTTTTCTTTTATTTGTGAATATATATATATCTTTATTTATTTATTTATTTATTTATTTATTTATTTATTTATTTATTTATTTATTTATGCATATATCGCATTAAGAGTAGAATGAGACTGCGTTTTGTAACTGCTGTGACTTGGAGGATGTCTGCAAAGTGGCCTGAATGGCTGACGACCAAGTCATTCGTCACCGGAATGGAAAAAAGAAGATGTCGGCTGGACTGCGCAAGCCTGAATGGTTCTGATGCAACGCGACTCAGCGCCGCCTCACCAGACAAAATCACACACATTCCAACAACATTAGACGAGCAGACGAGCAGAAGAGGATGATGCTTACCAGAGCGAGGCTGGCCGGCTGAGTGGGCGGCCGGTTGGCCTCGGCTACCCAAACACGTCCCAGTTGAGTTCGTTGCGGCGACTGGCGTCGAGGAAGACGTCGTCCAGTGCATGCTCTCGAGTGTATTCCAGCCGACCCGACTTGAGCGCCGCCTCGACCATGTCGGCCAACTGATCTTCCGTCGGTTGTGGTCGCGTCGGCTTCGTCGAGCGTTGGTGTCCACGCGGCATCCTCGAGTTCCACTGGATCCACTTGTTCAGGCAGATCGGCTCATGCTTCGGCCACGAGGCCGTGGTGAACCGACGTCCGCAAATGTGGCACACGGTGCCCGGCGGTCGTCTGGGTGGCTGGCTGTCGCGCAGTTGCTGACGGACGTGGGCTCGAATCGTGTCCTCTTCGTGGGTTCGTCGACGTTGGCACACGCCGGCATGAAACGGCAACGAGTACTCGGTGAAGTTGGCCTGACACACGTCGCATTTCTCCAACGACCAAGGCAGCCCGGCGCCTGGAGATCGACTGCGTCGTCGTGGCGACGAGCGTTGGCCGAGGCCGAGACCGAGACCGAGTCTGGCCAGACGGCTGGAGCGGACGAGACTGTCGGACGAGGCGGTGGAGCGGCGCGACAACGGCGACGCATGTCGAGTGGAGCGTCGACTCGCCGTCATCGACATTGTCCGACCAGGTCGGCTGCGCAGGCGGATTGGCGATCTGGACGTCGACGCCGACGTCGACGTCGACGCCAACTTTGCTGGTCGCGTGCCGAGCACTCGCGACCGGGCCTTCAGCAGCCAGGTCAGATTGGTTGCGGCGTTCATTGGGTTGCTGGTCGACGCGGAATCGGACCTGCAGGTCTACTCTGCGACTGGCCGAGCGGGAAAGATGTTGCAGTCAGCTGCGTCGCGACGCCATCGTCTTGTCTGTGTTGAGCAGAAGTGGCTCAAGTGGCCGAGGAATTTTATGCCAGACGAATCGATTTTTTTGAATACTCCTCCTGCCTTGTGAGTAGTATGAGGCGACGGGCCGAGTAGTAGGCACTCATTT